TATTATTTATTAATATATTTAACTAATTTAAAACTTGATTTTATCTAAAAAAAATCTGAATATGCATACGAGACTACATAGATATTTTAGATAAAGTTATCACAATTTTTTGGCAATAGTTTTTAAATTAAGAGTCAACTTTTTTCGAATAAGAGTAGATGCTTTTCCAAAAAGAGTCGACTCTCATGAAAGAGAGTCAACTATACACAGTACTCAAAATGGTCTTAACTCTCTGGAATTTGAGAGTTGAATATTCACAATATATTGTCAACTCTTGAATACTCAAGAGTCGAATCTAGGTAGCTAGATTCGACTCTTTATTTAAAGGTATATATACATATATATAATGGCATTGACCAACTATTAGTCAGAGTGGTAATATTATCTACAAGGGAATGGGGATATGTTGTTGATGTTTAGTTGGTAAAAAAATAAGAATAACAACAATATAGTATATGTTGCTAATACTTTAGGTGTAATTGGAAACGTTTCAGCAAGATAGCTCTTGTTGCTAAAAGTCATTTTCAACAACAAGAAATATCTTGCTGAAAGTGGAGCTCAATTAGATGGGGAAATAATTGTCGAAAAATATCAACATGGGATATGTTGCTGAATTTCAGCAACATACTCCTTGTTGCTGAAAGTATAACAACTTTTTAGGGAAAAAATGTACTATGTAACTTTCAGCAACGTGAGTTTTGTTACTGATATAAATTTTCAGCAACAAAGGATCCCATATTGCTAATATATTGTTGTTGAAGGCTTGAATTTTAGTAGTGAGTGACAAAGACTCTAAATAAATGTTACATCCCTTTAAATAAATCCTTACAAGCGTCAAAAATCCCAAAAAAACTCATTTTATAAATATAAAATTACAAATATAAATACCAAGAAACTAATCAATATACGCTAGTATAAACAAATTAAAGTAACAGCATTAAATAACATCTTACCCACATTTGTCTTGGGAAAAGTTGAAATCAAAAGGAAAGTTATGAAAGTGTTTTTTTTTTTTTAAATGTTATATAATTTAAATTGTATAACATAAATTATTAAACGATTCGTCAGATATATATTAGGGTTGAAGTTCATACGGCACCAAACTAAAATGCAAAGAACTCTCCCATAAACATAAATTATATTTTGTAGGTAAAAAGGTTGTGCAGTTCAATCTATAAAATTTAAACAATTTGATAGTTTGATGAAACTCTTAATATTGATAGTATTTTTATCCAATGATTCGATTCGTATTTTACCATCCAAGTCATATAGTTGCTAAGGGAAAGGAAAACATACCTCTATTTACAATATCAATGGAGCATAACCAATAACTTGTTGAATCAAATGAAAAGAATTCAATTCTCTTTAAATAAAGTCTCGACTTTAAATTTTATAAATAGAGAAATAAGTGTTGGAGAACTTTTGTCCTTTTAGATTTGACGAGATTTAATTCTAAATTAATTATGATTCAATATAACTTTTAAATGCTAGAAAATAAGTGAAAAAGAAGAAGAAGAAGAAATAGAGCATATTTCTCGGTGCATTAACATTAATTCTTCAACACCAATGCAAAAACTCAAAGCTATCTCTGCTGCTTATCAATGTAGCGTATGCAAAAAGGTATTACTCCTATATACACTAGTTCCTCCCTAGCATATACTCCTACATACTCAGAAAATCCAGTGATATGTGGAATTCTATTGAGTGGCAAATCAATACACTACTCAGAAAATCCAGTGAGAGGCAATTACTGAGCTTCCTCTCTTCAGCCCTTTGCTCCATCTAGTGCAGCAGCTCCGGCTCTCGATTGGAAGCCACATCTCCACCAGTCCACCTTCAGCAAGTGCCACAGCACCACCTCCAGCGGAGCATCAGAGGCACATTGCTCAGTGTCCGCTCTCTTTTCGGAAGCAAGTTGTTGACACTGCGAGGGAATCAGCACGAGACTCACTCATGTTTCGAAGAATGCTAGACAAGTTGAAACGGTGCGTTGCATTCGTTCTTTGCACAGCAGATGAGACGGGCTTGAAATTTTGCAAAAGCCTAAAAATAGCCCCTTACCTTGATAAGTTGGACGGTTTTAACCCCTCACCTTATAATATAACAGTTTTAGCCCCTAACCTATAAGAATGGAAGAAAATAGCCCTCACTTCTAACTTCCGTCATACCTCCGTCACTTCCGTCACTTTTTCCGTTAACTTTGTCCGGCTTATACCTATAATAAATAAAAAAATGAGAAAGCTTCTCCCAGAAGCTTGATACTTTTTTTTTTGAATTCCAACCTTTTTTTTCTTTTTGAGAATTCTAACATTTTTTTTACCTTTATTTTTAAA